CAGACTACAGTCTAGGACTTACCAGTGTGAAAAACATTTTAAGCAGTCACCCAAATTGTCTTGACCTGGTTTATCCAGAAGTGTCATAACTGAAATGTTTAAGATGTACACTCAAATTACATGTTTTCTTCATTCTGTCCCAACACTTAGAAAAAAATAATTCTTGCTCAGTTTGCAAATAAACATGAAATTGTCTCAGGTCACCTTTGTACACTGTGGAAAACAAAGAGTATGGATAACCGTAATACTTTTTTTAACAATTTTTGAAGGTGGAAAACACAGGATTGAATACAGAGAGAAGAACAACATTCCAAAAGGACAGAGTGTCCTTTAGACATGCAAGGCAGTGCAGAATTTGTAGTAGAAATAGCAGTATGGGATTCCACAGTAATGTTTCAGTCATACTATGGTGAACTGCTATCCTGGTCACATTAGTGAATTATGCTGCAGTTAAAATCATTCACTAGCTGGATCTGTCCTGGGGGACATTTACCTCATGGCTGGGTTGTTACCACAATTTATGTAGCATACATACCTGCTTTTAGCTCATTCAGATAACAAAGCAGTCTTTAAACAGGTTTTTAACCTGACACAATCATCCATTCCAACACCCAACCCTTTCATATTCAGGACTAAATACTGTATTGAACTGCTATTTTTAAGGCTCTGATGAGAGTAATAAGACATCACCTCACAAACTCTAACTGTTTTGTCCTCCAAGGGGCATGTATTTGAATAATGATAGCACAAAACAGACTCTAAATTGATCCTGAGTTAAGGGCCAAACAGTAGGAATCAAATCCATCTGTAGGTGAAGTCACGTCTTAAATTTCCATTTGATTCTGTAAATACATAGGGGTCTTACAGATACTTTAGACACCCAGTTAGACTGCCTGTGCTCTTCAGAGAGACAAACACATCGGTACACAGACCTCTGTTCTCAAAAGACAGACAACTTGGCTGAGTTTGTGGCTGTAGAACTCTACAACCTTACACCTACACAACTCTACAACCTTACACACAACCTTCACACAGGTTGTTTCATGGATCGGTTTCGTTCTGCAGAAAAATTATTTAGGGAAGGAAACACAAACCCTCTCCTCACTCTTCCCCAGCACCTGTGCAAAACTCATCCTCCACTCCAGTATTTTCTGTTTGCACATCATTTTTTCACAAAGTTAGTATCTGCTTAAAGGAATGATACTTAGGGAGTCTCACAGAGTATCAACCACTTGACTGGATCCACTGATGTGCCTCATGCATGCAGATATTTGACCAAAATTGCCTAATGAGCATTAGCTTTGCAGACCAAAAAGGGGAGTCCATCCTTTTGAAAGCCTCTATATACCTATATTTTTAGAATTTTTGCTTCCAGAAGGAAGGACAGATTCACCAGGGGGCACGTAAAAGAGCTACAGTTCCTGCTCGACCCCATTTGCTCTGCACAGATTGATGTGCTCTCCATGTCATATGACAGAGGATGCATTGTGCTGTTCAATAGCACCCTTATTCACATCCTGACTGCATCCAGCCCTGATGTATAGCAGCACTGTGTGAACAGATTGCTTTCATGACAGTTTTGAAACTCAGAAGGAGCCAGTTTGAATTGCAATTTTATTTTTAACCATCCTACAAGTGATGTCTACAATCTAAGACACAACTGTCTCCAACATGGTGCCAGTGTAAATGAGCGCACAGTTCTGAATGGTTACCTTATGTACCTTTAAAGGGCAAACCATGACCTTGGAGAGACTCAGAGTCCTAGTACCGATTTAGCAAACAATCTCGCCATTACTTTTTAGTGCCCATCTTCTTTCTGTTGTGGTAAGTACATAAAAACATGATGAATTTAGGAAACCGCTCCAAAAACTACATCAAGGACACATGTGCAGCTTGAATTCTGGATTCCTGGATAACCAGAATAGTATGACTCAGAGGACTTGATAAGCTTTCCAATAATCTATTTCACAAAAGTACTTGAAGTACTTTTTAAACATTTCCAACTACAATCGCATGATTACTTTAGCCCTTTGCACTTACGCTGTGAAATACTCAAACAAGACTAATTACGCATATTCTTTTTGTACAGGATGACATTTATCTCAAGTGGTGTAATTGGCACCTTGGTTATGTGCACACTGTGTAGTGCAGTGTAATACAGAGATACCCAAGCTAACAGGAAGGAACACGATTGTGATAATTACAGCAAGAGTGTAGACAATGCAGAAGGGAGGAGAACTTGGAGCAAAACTATCTTCCGGAACAAAACCTTCTTTAGCTTCCACACTTGGGCTCCGCTAAACAGCTTTAGAATATTTTTACCAGTGAATAAATCAAAGTGCCACACAGTAATTGTCTTTGATAGACAAGAAAAAATGTTTGTATCTCATTATTGGATCCTACTAGAGCAGCTTTCCTTTAATCAACCAATTCCATACCCCTTTACTAGACAGAAGCCCAAGTTTTCCAGAATAAATGCCCACCTGATTACATAGTCTCCGGGGCCTTATTGCTCTGCCCGGATAGTAATTATCCCATCAAGGTTTCCATGACAACTTTCTTTGCTCATGATGGACCCCAAGTAAAGCCGTCCATTTAAAGTGATGGGACACAGTTCAAAGCTAGATGCAATGAACTTTCACTTTCCTTCTTATTCTGTCTACTCTGACAGGATACTCACAAGGGATTCCCAGCTTCTTTAGCCACATGTTGTATTCTCCACTGGACTAAGGCTCCTGCAAAGTGTAATCCACTTTTCACTTGTGGAACAGTTCAGTGAAATCCAAAGCTACTGTCAGGACTGAATAGGAGAGAGGAAATAAAGGAATCATATAGAAATAAGATTACATGCACTGACTACATGCATGTAAGAAGTGCCAGATACCAGGTCATTTACTGGCTTTTTCCAAAAAGCATGTGGAGTCATTCAACAGCTGTGCTGCATCCCATTAGAAGCAATATCATACAGGCAGAAAGAAAAAACCATCCTGGGGAAGGATTTCTGAGACACGCAACGAGTTAGCAATTAGCTACAAATTGCTTACTTAATTAATGAAGAATAAAATGATGACACTATTTAATCTTGTGACAATAGACTGATTTAAGAATCGCTGATAAGTACTATTATTAGTCAGAAATGCTGCAATATCATACAGTATTTAATTTGTTTTAGAAAAGATGAAACTGTAAGAGGTTAATGCTCTTTCGGATTTATAGAAATTTAACTGCTTGTACCCTATTACCATTAGCAGCCATGTGGTTAAATCACCATGCTTTATTTTAAAGAAAAAAAAAGTAGTAATTTTTAAAATTGTTTCCATTCTTAATTTCTCTCACAACAAAACTCTCCATTTTGTGTACATTTTAGGTTTTGTCTCATACTACAAAAACCACTTGACTATCAATGTCATACTATACATAGAGTTGCTAATATGATGAGTGTGCAGTCAACAGCAGGGTGAAGACAACAACTGTCCATTGTTTTGCTTTATAGCTGTTCTCAAGTCTATGTACACACCATAATAACTGTGTAATAATCCTGCCTATTTCAAATGATGTTTCTGCTGGCTTAGATGACTCATCCTGGATTTTTAATTCCCCCGCCCCCCCCCCCAAATGAAGTAAATTCAAAAATTATTTTACATAGAATGTCAACTTAAATGTTGCGAAGATATACATTGGGGGGGGGGGCGGGGTGGAGAGGAGGAAAAAGATATTAGTCATATCACAAAGCAAAGCTAATATAATAATGGTGAATATAAGAGAAGACAACAGCAAGACTAAAGAATAGCTTGTTGCAAAGCATAGATCAAATTTTATGTCATTTTCTTACACCTCTAGCAGATGGTTAGTTCTCACATAACTGACTGAGCATGGAGCCTGCTTTGCACAGGAGTCCCTGCCTGCTCTATGGGGCCCAATTCAAAGAAATACTGAGAAGAAACTTTGTGTAGATGGCAAGCTTTCCATGGAGCGCCCATTCCACAGATCTTGAATTTTCTTGCTTTTCAAGAATCACTATGCAGAAGGCAGTGCTGGGCTGCACCAGCTACCACAAAGCTCTTAGCAGCCAGGACACCCTCAGGGCAAGGGTGGGGACTAGAGAATGGGAATCTTCTGAAAGCTCTAATGAGGAAGATGAGTTTGGTACTTTGCTCTACCTCCAACTCCCATCTGAACTGCAAGTGTAAATCTCTATGTTCTCCTTGGTTTTGACTTACTTAGGAAATAATACACTGCAGTCTTGCCAGCCCCATCACTCTCCTTTGGATTCTTGGTTATCAGCCCAATTGATATTTTCATCAGAATTTGGCCCGTAACAGTAAATATTGTTGTCCTAGAGAAAAGTCTGTATAGTATTAAGAAGACTAATCTGCAAATTTTTCTTAGGAAACCAGCTTCATTGGACCAGTCCTCTTTGAAAGAAAACAATACTCTTGACCTTTTCTTTAACAAGACATAGACAGCAAATGCTTTTCTACAGGGTTTCTGAGATGTTATTTCACAATGACATATAACCATAGTGTTTGACAAAAATCATAGCCTATTTCACTCAATGGCTTAATGCTAACTGGTCACCTGAAAGTCACGTGTGTCTCTACACAACAGACCAATGGGTCTTGCTAGAAGCTCCTAGAAGTACAGGTGCCTACATTCTTTCTTAGACAATTAAAATAATTACTGATCATAACATGACACTCACATACAGTCAAGTATATAATAAGACATTTTAAAATATGCTAGAATTAACTATCACTACTCAGTGCATCTCTCTGGGATGTCTTATGACATTGCATGGACTTGAACATCAGCCTTGGAGTATCCATATGGCTGAATATTTCTGGATGTGGCAGTAATACCTTTGGAATCATTTTTTGTTTATGTGTACTTAAGTCCCTCTACTTAACTTCTTCAATTGTTCAAAGCCTTTAATAACTTTCTGTCCTATGTCCACAGCATATTTATGCATACTTTTTGCAGTTCACATTTTGCCATGAACCATGTCCGATCCTGAAAGGTGTATTCAACCTACAATTCAGAGTTCCCAGAACCCTGCAGAAGGTATCAGAGATACAAACTTTTCTAGCAAAAAAGAATTTGATTTTAGGATGTTTGATGTTTTAGCTTAATTTCCATGCTGTAGGCTGCATCAGCGCCAGGAGGGCTTTATACATGACTGATGATAGAAGCTGAGCATGTAATAGATATCAATTTGAAAAAATCGGTAATGCTTAAATGGTGTATTTAGGTGCTTAAATGGGTAGACAGACACTCTGAAGACACTGAGATTTTAAACAATTTGCATGTAAAAGAAGTGGGTTTTAGAATGTATTTTTAATATCCAAGATTTATTTCTTTACTATTAATGCACCATAGTCCAGTTATAGTGAAAGCACAACTAGCGATAGTTCAACAAGAGTTTCCACAAGCCCTACTTGCAACATCCATCCCGTTTGCTGCTTTTTGGTACTTTCCTTTTCCTTAATTAGTTCCCTCTAGTTACACAGGATTATTTGAATGACAGAATCAATATAAGAAGTACTGCTATTCTTTTAAGCCAGCCTTGACACTGTAACAAAAACAAAGACTTGCAACTGCCGTATTAATGAGTACATTTACTACGATGAGGTGCCTGCCCAGTTTCCTTCTTTTCTTTTTCAGAGGAAGTTTTACACCTGTTATCTCTTCTGATAGGCAACATGAGGGGGAGTGGGTAAGTAAAAAAAATGGAACAAGTAAGGGAAAAATATGGAAATTATGCAGGAAAAAAGCAGCTGTGGTGACTTATACTGTGTTTTTTGGGGCACTACAAATTCCTTAAGCTATGTCCTGCTAAATAATCTAAAAACTTAAACCTCCTTTTTCCAGTTACATCTGCTGAAAACTGGAACCAGAAATGCAAGGGTTAAATGACCAGGGAGCAGGTACAGCTGAGACCCTGCAACCCATCAGCCAATGCTGATACCTTGGTAAGAGCCCATCTACATAAAAGAACAAGCCATAGTTATTTTACTCTAGCCTCTTAATAAGAAGTCATACAGCTTTTGAGATAAAGTCACAGATTTTGGTAGTATTTTGGAATTTTTTTTGCCCTGCAATGGTAAGAATTTTCATTTAGAGTTGTCTGTTCTTTTAATCTGCTGGGATGTGTAACTTAATAAGAGGTTTTATTCCCTTTTGCTCTGAGAGCAGTAGAAAAATGGAGAGCTTGTCTAACAATAGCTGGTGTATTTATCTTTCTGCTGAGAAAGCAATTGCTGCTGATTGGTAAAGAGAAGTACTAGCTAGGTTGTATTGTGATGAAGTGCTGGTCTAACTTTCCCATGAAGTATGGGAGAAAAAAAAAACCAAAAACAACTTAAACTGTGAGGGAGTGGAGTGGTAAGAACTGGGTTACCTGGCTAAGCTGTAGCAATTTGGCTCTAAATAGAACACAAAAATGTCTTGTGCACTGAAGCTATTTTGTATATAGTGTTCTTAAGCTTAGAAAATATTTTAAAAATAGAAAAGGCTAATTATCAAATAGCTTTTTTGGTGTAAACACAGAATAAGAAGCAAAGGGAGTAAAGAGCACTGCCTTGTCATTCTTCACCAATGCAACCTGGAGATTCTTCTTCTTTTGTTGTTTGTGCAAGGGGTGGAGTTGATGATAAACTTAAGATAGTTGTTAGCCTCTCAACTGGAAAACTGATCCCTCTGGATGTGGAGACTTATATCTATGCAATACCTGGCTGAGACTCTTTATGATCTTGGCTCTTTGCGTGGTAGTGTCTGTTTGGGTTTTGGGGTTTCTTTTTGTTTTTTTTGTTGGTTGGCTGGGGACTTTTCTAATGCTTTTTCTTGTTTTGGGATGTTGTGAGGTTTTCTTGGGTGGGGTGGGGGCGGTATTTTCTCTAAAGCCATCTTGGCTAGCTGGTGCTAACTGTTGACTCAGGAGTCCCTGGGAAGAGTCCCACATCAGTTTTCAAGATGGAGGCAGTCTGTATATTTTTTGCCAATACATTATGAAAAAAATGCTTAAAGCTTGTATTGTGCTGGTAATTAAGTTGGTGGCTTACAAAGCTGGTGTACTACTATGGGTAGGTGATGAAATGCAGTTTCAGTATACTCATGACTACCCCTAATTCCTAACAGCTGTGGGCATTTGTGGCTTGTGAAAAGCAGTGCATCCCAATAATGACAAAGCTTAACTTCACAAAATCTTAACAGGAAACAGTGATGATGCTAAAGACAAAATCCTATTGTGAAAGAAGCATTCACTGTCTTTTGGGGCTATTAACCTACTTTGATATTTCGGCATTGATACTACAGCTGTCTAAATTACTTGTATATATTTTACATATCCGTACAAAAAGTTGTGGGCCCTAGAGAATTGAAGTTTCATAAGAAATATGTTGGCTCCTTGAAGATGAGGAAGTGTGTCAGTCCCTTCTTGTGGTGTGAAGGCCTGGTCTTTTAGACATACTGTATTTGCAGCTTCCCAGTGGAGCCTATAGTACTTGGGTTACTGCACTAAGGGCAGATTCAGCCCTGATGTGAAAGGGGTGGCAAGCCCAAGACCTCAGCAGATGTGCATCGAGGGGGGATGCCAGGCTCTACCTTCTCCCACCACCATGCTGATGAGACGAGGGTTGTTTCCTGATACTGGGCGTAAGCCTGCCTTAGACAGTGCCATTGTCTTTGAATATGCTATAACCATGGGGAGGGCTTTAGACGTATTTTCCCTGCTGTGGTACTTGTTTATGGTAGCTTGTAATATCAAGAAAGATGAATGCGAAACAGGATCACATAAAACACAGTTGGATATATTGTCGGTGCTACCTATATTGTGCAATGGCACAGCGTAGCAATCCCAGGTGAGCATCATACTTGACTGGTTCAAGAACTGGAAACAGTAGAGCTGTGTCAGCGCAGTGCTGCACCTGAATTAATTAGTCATGCTTATAGACAGAAGGCTAACTTATTTGGGAACAGACTGTGCTAATGCTACGCAGCTCTAGGCACGGAAGCTGTTAGCTGGGAATGGCACAGCGCGAATATGCCAGGCTCTGTGTTACTAGCTAGGAGAGGTCTACAGCGCAAGTCTCCTGTACTGTTGCACTCGAAGCCATATGGAGCGGAAACATCGGAGCAGGGAAAACATCTGAGGGAAAAGCGTTACATATGAACACAAAGTCAATATTATACTTTAGTGCTGCCTCTAAGATTTATGCTAAACCCAGCTTTTGTTCCTTTTAATGTTTTGTGGTTGCCAGGGTGCCCAGAAAAACACAAGAAGAAACATTTCTTACAGAAGCTGCTAAATATAATTGGACTGTTCACCCTAAACCATACACTAAATCCTCAGATTTAGGGATTCTCACACCATTAATGACTACAAAAGTTATTATTAGAGAGTAAAATAAAACGTAAACTACTGCTTCTCAGGATGTTAAAATACAAAAATGGATTTACCCTGTTCCTAAAGGAGTCTTGCCAGTCAGTCAGTTACAGGCAGCAATTCTCTGTCTCTAAAGACCAGACAATGGTAATATGATCAATTTGCCCAACTTTAGACCCTGAAGAAAAAGGAGAGAAGGAATTATACTGAGTTGCTTGCCTCCTGACTCACTCTAGCCTAAGCTGAAATGACTCAGAGCTGCTATTTTCCACCCCCTCACCCCATTATCTGTTGGGGGAAGAAACCAAGGCATATGTCCTGGTGAAGTGTTGATGTCATCAGTCAACACTCAGTGAATACATATTGTTTCATTATTTGTATTGACTGTCACCCTAACATCTGGTGACAGCGGAATGTGAATTGCTCTGTATGTTAGGAAACTGTCCCACAAAAACGGAGTTCTGACACTGAAGACTGGGAGATAGTGTGTATAAGTAAATATGAAAGACATGACAATCTTGCAAGTTACCAATAGTAAAGCAATGTATGCAGGGTTTGCCTTGGTGGTAAGCATGTTTATCGAGTGGTTTTTTTTTTCTTTCATATTAAAAATGTGAAGCCTCACAAGGGGGTTTCCACTAAGAAACCACTGATTAAAATAACTTGCTGTTAATTACTTTTATTTTTATGTATCAGACAAAAGACTCTTTTTCACTTATTGCCTCCAGTGGCACCTATTTGACTTTATACATTTTATCTTCTTTACCTGTGTGCTGTATTTTGTACATATACAGGAAGGGTTCAAGGTGAAAAGTTACATATTAAGAAGGACAATACCCATAAATGACAAAGCGTAACTGGAAAAATTAATCTTGTACCTAGATTGCCTGGCTGAGAAAACTATCCCACTAGAAATAAAATTGGATTAGACCTACTAACTCAATGGTTCTAGTTTTTTGGGGTGAAACACTTTTTTTTGGATACGTGTTCACATTAGGAGCCCCTTATAGGAGTAGATTCTTACGGGAAGACTCTTAACTTCCTGGGATAATGCATTTGGCTGAACTGTGCCTCACTGCTGCTTTGAATGTATATAGCTGTGCTTCCAAGTAAACTAGGCAACTTATTATGTCTATGGCTATCTGTAGAACTTAACTGGTAGGTATGGCAAATGGTCCTACATAAATTACAGTTCTGAACAATCACAGGACTAACAAGTAATTTAAATGCAGAATAGCATAGATGTAGGGGTCAGCATTGCAAGCGCTAATTTATGCAATCAGAATGGTTTCCCTATATTCAAAATATAGCAGAAAGACTTTGGCTTGCAGTAAAATACTATTGCCACCTTAAAATCATAGTCTACTGCTAGCTGCCAGATCTAAATAGTGGTTCAAAATGCTAGATTACAGCAGTACCAAGCTGTGAGTTTACATTCTTGTTGACAGCAGTTATTGCAAGGCACACTGAATTGATGCCAAAATATTAATCACTATACTAAAATGTAACTTCAAGTCCTTCACAGCAAGACTACTGTGTATCTTCACCCATATTCTGTTTTAAACATTCACAATACAAAACAATCCGAGGCCTCCAGGACTTCTCAGAAAATATATGTCCTGCAGCATCCTGATTAATTTTCTTCCAGTGACATGACTTCTTTTTCCCCTCCTCCCGCTGCGTTTTCTTCATTCATTCACCCTGATGTATAGCCTACCTCACAGAATTGCAAAGGGAGCTGGCAGGGATCCAGGACAACCTGTCAGCACAGGCAGCAGTGAGGTGGTGACTCAGCAGAGGCACTGTGTGTCTTTGCAGTCTGCTGCAGCACTGTTCACTCGCAACCTTCCTGGAGGCAAATCTTGTCTGTGACATTGAATGTGTCCACGGTTCCTATTCATCCTTATTTTGATGGAAGGGAGGATGTGTCCTCCTCTGAACCTGAAAACATGGAGCTGCCCTACAGAAGCTAATAACCTATGGAACAGAGGCTCTGTGTGACCTGAGGATTATTTGAGGCTTAACCTTGAGAAGAAGGCTGGCAATTTTGTAAAGCAACTCACTAAGAACTAGACTGTCACTTAAACTGCAGTGTTAAAACTATTTTAAAATAGCATAATTTCACTGCATTTGTCCCACACTGCATTCTCTACAACCCCAACATGACAGCTGACACGTACAAAAATCCAACATATTTGCTACCTATGCTGGGATTATTTAGAATAAGATGAAATTATCTGGTGTTCAGAAACAAGATGTCTACTTTTAAAGGAGTTATAGGACATCAACGTGGCCAATCATGTATTAAGATACTTATTTTTTGGTCTTCGTTCTTCAAACTGCCTTTTTAATGACAAGCATTTAAATGGCTCCCTCTTGTGGCAAGAAAAAATGCAGTATCGTGTTTTTTGGCAAAAATCAGTCCCCGAATAGAAATTAGAATTTATATATATTTATACTGCATAGTCTACTCATCAGTATGTTGTCGTGACTAATGAAGAGACTGCACACACCTATCCATTGCTGCTTAGGTACTCTTGAAACTACCTAAAAAAGCACCTAAGCATGACTTAAACTGTTACCTTTCAGTTGTATATGCTGAAGGGTAGGGAAAAATAGACTGTGAACCAGGTGTATTGCACCTCATCTAACTTGCTAATGCAGACTAGACTATATTCTGTCTCACAGAAGTCTCTTAAATCTCTGGAACATCTCAGCACAGAACATCTGGATTATGTAGCCTGATAAAGCTTTCACTTGGGCTTTTAACTCATGAAGGCTTTCTTCACAATAATTAATAGCTATAAAACTCTGAAATGAAGAACTGAGATTTTGTCATAGTATGGGGCATACTTTGATAACTTTGGATATTAAGCAATAATCTTGGAAACGGACACAGGAGAGGAAAAATCCTCATAAACCACACTAAGGTCTTGGCGACCTCAAGGGGCAAATGAAATGTATACACAGTAAGTATCTACCACAGCTTTTGAGAAAGCAGATTTGAAAAGTTTTGTTTCAAGACAACAGATTCCAGTCCTGTGGTTTCTCACAAAATCTGTTACTGCATAGTTATGAATTAAAAAAAAAAAAAGCTAGGCTCACTGCAGAGTAGGACTAATCATACAGATGGCTTTATAGCTTGATAAAGCTACTTTGCAGATTAATCTCTTGAGATAATCTCCATTTATGCTGATTCAGAAGTCTGGTATAGACACAGGAAGCTATGTTTACTAGTTCGAAGGAGGGAGCTTTAAAATACTATATTATAAACTCTGCTTTAGTTGCTTATCCTTCTTTCTAAGAAGTCTTCCATGTTACAGCCTTGCAGGTTGTTAACAGAATGAATGACAATATGACTACCAAAATCAAATTATACATGCTTTTCAAATCTAGGACTTGAGAAGTGAGAACAAATTATTTGGAGGTAGGTACACACAGATGGAGTTACCACTCATTCACAGAGAGGAAAAAATTTCTATGGTGCACTGAAGAATCATTCAGTATCTTACAGTTTCTCTTTTCTCTGCCTGGTGGCACCCCACAATCTATTCCACGCTTCAGAGAAGAACTGATGAAGATAGACCTAACCAAAGAATAACTGAAAGGGTTTATCAAACCTAAAGTGTGTACTTAAGCTCAAAACTACTGTTCCAAAAATGTCTTATCAGCTGCCACCTGGGACTAGATACATCTAACCTCAAAAATACCCCTTTTATCTATCCAGCCATGCAAAGTTAGTTTTCTGAACATAACCACCATCATGATCTTAATGGAACCAAGCTGCCTTGTATTTCAAGCCTAGTGGGATAGGATGAGGCAACTGGGCATGTTATTACCTATTTCTCAGAGGTACTCATTCTAAAATTGTTTGGAAGATTTCTATAAAAGGATTACGAGTTGCACTACATACACACACACACATATATACATAAAAATATTTTTAAAAGCCCATTTTATCTTAAATATGGCCAAACACTGCTATTCCTAACCAATAATCTAGTGGCTGGGGTACCTGCCTGGAAAGTGTGAGAGACCAAGTTCCTCAGATGTAGAGGATTTAGTATCTTCCCTCCTGGATTCTATGTCTTTCTCTCCTGGAGTATCGCCAAACTGCAGGCTATTCGAGAAGAGAGGTGCTCTCAGAGACTTCAACAGCTTGTGTGGAGAAAAGAATAAAAAAAAAAAATCAACTGATCAATAAAGCTCACAAGAGTTGTATATTCAGTGAAGTGGTAAAGACTTTCCAAGTTAGGCTTTTGAGATCTAGCACTGCTATTAAAAATAAGCTAACACAGGAGTATTTTTCTAATTAACTTGTATTTTTTCCAGCATAGCTTTGCCTTGTGAAATATTGGCATACCTAAAATGGGGCCACCACAAGTTTATTTCATGCCTCCATTACTTCTCTCTCAATGCTGTAATGCAAAATATTGTAAGAGGCAAATGTCAATCTCTTAAGTTTTCAAAGTTCTCCACCTGTAAAAGGGTTCTGTTTTCTTCTTGACCCAAAATGAAGTCATGCTGACTTCATTTCATTTACTTGGTTTGTAGCAGAAGACTAATGTGGCAGGAATACACACTTGAGACTCCAGGCTAAGTCATGAAGCATGCTTGGGCTATCCTTCCCATGTCACTTTTGCACTTGCCTTAGTAAAACTGTAATTGTGGAACTGAAAATGGTTATGTGAAGGGTTTCTTTCAGTAGAAACTGAGAGAACAGGAGGGTATGACAAGCATCTGCAAAACTATAGGTTTGGAGGTGAGGTTAATTCCTTAATTAGCCTCACCTTACAACAGGGAAAAAGCTTATCCTGAAATAGTAATGCATGACAGAACTTAGCATTTGTTAGCTTTAATACTGAAATGGGAAATATTGGTGCCTTTGGTGTCACTGAACCAATTCGCTGCATGAGGTTGGAATTTGGGTAAGCTAAGCTAGGGTATAAAATAGATACTCGTGATGGGGGTGGGAGAGGTATGCCTTTATTCTAAGTCACCTAGAACTCTTTCCACCAAGCTACTGAGGAAAATGTCCTTCCTTTGGGTGCGATTTTTGTCTAGCCTCCATTGTGGTTAAGGTTTGGTATACTACAAATTATGGAGTGAGACTAATATTAGAAAGCATTTCCCAAAGAAACCTCAGGGGAGTACTCTTCACACTTTTCAGGTTTGTGGTTTTGTTAGTGAGCTTTTGTACCTCATTTCTGCTTAACCTCAGGTTATGAAACATACTTCATCCCTTAAACAAGGTTTGGATTTGAAATTTAATATTCATTCCTTATGTCTGCAGGATTTTATAAGCAAACAATTTAATATGTAGGTTGATTTAAACAACAATTTTTTCCAGCTGAAGGAGGAGACACTGTCACTGATTGTCCTGTACCTGTATGATATCAACCCATGGTTTCTATGAAGTGCTTAGCTGTTTTTACATACAGGAAATAACATCATCAGTCAGGATCGAGTTTCCTGTGACATTGCGTGTAACTCTTAATAGTGAATGCTGTAGAAAGACTTAAAATTATCAAGCTTTTGTGTTAGTTGCATAACTGTCAATGTCATATGTGGTTGAAATGCACTGCAGCTTATTCCTAGACCTCAGCTAATAATCAATACCACAGCAAGTATTTACAGCTTTAATGGATTGCAAGATAAACCCTGCTGGATTTATGCCATGTATACATCTGCGCTGAACACATGCTGCACACCAGAAAGAATTCCTGTAGCTAAACTACATTATGCTGCTTTAAATAAAACCACTGCAATCTGACTTACTGAAACAAAAAAGCGAAGGCTTATATATAACCAGCTTCCCACTGCCTCCTTCTGTGCTATTGGCTTTCTAGGCCTCTTTTTCTATGCAAAGCATTTCAGCAATATACTTAAATGAGTGAATGTTGCATAATATGATTATGTGCTTTTTCTAAACTGAGGAATGTGTCCCACTTGCTGCATGTTAAACATTGCTGCCTTGATTCTTTCATTGGAAGGGAAATTATGTGCTGACACTTTTATATTCGTGGCAGCTGTCAAATGCTAAAGCAGAGGCTTAAGGGATTGGCTTTTTTCCTTTTTCTGTGTACTGAAAACTAGTATCACTTCCTCTCTCTGGTTTTAGCTCCGAAGGGGAAGATTATATTTGATTCAGGTAATCTTTTTTTTTTTTTTGTCTGTCTCATCCCAGTATGCTACCCTAACTTGTATTACAGGAATTTGCACGTATGGGTAATTAAGGCAAAAAAAAAAAAAAAGCCTCGGAAGTGTACAGAGGCAGCCCTGAGGTGAGCTAGCCTACCACTGAGGAAACATGGCTGGGAGCTTCCCGCCTTGATCTCTGGCACCCAGCTCCAGCCACAGACGTGTCCGCCATCAGGGGTCAGCTGCCTTCGTTCTCTTCCCACCTCGTTCCCCCCTCAGAGGCGGTGAGCCCGGGGCACAGCCCACGGGCTACCGCTCTGCTCCCTCTTCCCGCCCCCTCTAATCCTCCCTCTATTGCCAGCCGACTACCGAACAGGCTGGCTCCGCCGCCGATGCGTAGATGGCGAGCCGCG